TGTTCAAATTATGGGGGCCAAAAGAGCTGTTTTCATTCTAGGCCCTGTATATTATTATTTGTTTTGGGGAAGGGTTTACAGATTTACCAGTGCCTCTTAAATCTATAAGCCTGGCAAACAAAATACCAATATGTTTTTTCTTTATTGTTCAGTCAAAAACTAAATGCTACATGTTATGAAGAGAAGTAAGGACCTGACAAAGCAAAGACTTATTAGGACTTAATTTGCATTATGGAAAACACAGGTCAGGCCAAAGGAGTGAAAGGGGATTTAGACCAACACAAGGCAGATTTTGAAAAAATTTCTGAAGGAAAGGGCAGGAATTATTATTTTGACTGAGTGGAAACCATAGAGCTGGCAAAAGACTTCAAGCAAGGAGGAGAGAAACTATCTGGATGATCCTGCTGCTTCTCTGTCTCTGTAAGGGGCAGTATAATCCTAGCTTTGAAAATATACATCACTAACCCCAAACCACCCCAAACTAAATACAGTACTGAAATAGAAAGAAAATTTTGAGCTCAAACCAGACATAGCAGCCCTGAGACTACTGAATTTGCTGTACCAATTACCTGTCCACAATATTACATAGTCTCCAACCAAATACTATTAGTGTGGTTCTCAGAGTAATTCAAAGACACTGCTGCACTTTCTCAAATCATTTTTGGATGTCTCACAAGCTTCCAAGAGAATTATCATTCTTAAGGGTAAAGCACAGGAGACGATTTGTTCACATTTCAGTACAATCTGGTTTTCAAAAATTTGTTGCTTCCATGTCTTTTTGTATCTGAGTTGTTAGATTTGTTTAAAGGTAAGAAAAACCGTCACATTTGTCAAACACCAGCTTTTTTTTTGTTCTTCCAAGAGAGCAAAAGAGGGTTTGTAGTACTTCACTAAACCAGGGCTCACTTGTGTTGGTCTGCAGGGAAAGAAGGCTGAGGCATCAAAAGCATTGCAGTTAGTGAATTTTATCCTTCCGATGCAATTAGTCTGCAATGAGATCTGATTAAATTTAAAGACTCAAACCTCAAGTCCAGTACTTTGGGTCAAGACATAAATAGACAAGAGGATGAAAGAAAAGTCTGCTGTGGGCTTAAAAGAGCCCTGGGCTCCACAGCTCAGGTTAAGATTTCTGAGGAATGCAAGCCAGGTGGATTGATTTAACACAGCATTAAAAAACATCTGGAAAAGAAAAATATGTACATCAAAAATAATCATGAGACAGTCTTCTCAGAGTAAAATAACCAGTGGAATGTGTGACATGTAAAATAAGTTTCTGCACACATACCCACACTGCCACCATCAGCTTTGCTTTCTCATTTATTTAGGGGAACCTAAATTGGCAAACAGGCTCTTCCTTTCTCATGGATAACAGAGGAGGTGCTGAGCTGCTGGAGACTTCACCACTGCTGCAAAATAGAGGATGTGTTCATACCTGTTTGTGCAATGGACACTTGCTGTGCAATATTATCTTGTCTCTACAGATAAATTAGTTGCTTCATGCTCCTGCCAGCTTGATTTGTTTAGCCTTTACAGAGTACAGAATCCATGGAGTTTCTTGTGATTGAATCTCACGTAAAAGGTAAACCTGAGAGCTTATTCTACACTAAGCTATACATCCACCCAGGCAGCCAGAGCATTTGCTGACTTGATGATGAAAAGAAGGCTATAAAACATACCAGGGAAATCTTGAAACGTCGCTCACTTGACATAGCAATAAGAGCCCTGCATTAAGATGCAGAGCTGATTTCCCTGATCCATGAAATTGCCTGGATATTTAAGGCATTCTCAAACAGAACCAGCATGAAACTCACCCTCCATTCCTAGCACAAGGACACCATGGGTTCTGTGTTCTCCAATAAAAAGAGAGCTCAAAATTGCAGAGATTAACAGTCTTTAAGGGAATACCTAAACACAATTTCCTCCCTTTCTCAAATAATAAGAAATAAATATTCAAAACCTCTTGAATGCTAAAAGAAGGTTTTGCTTGATGACACACTGTTCAGGCACCTGAGATGCTCAAGTTCTCTGTTGTGAGAGGTTCAAGAACCTCTCACAATAAAACAGTGTGCAATTCTGTGACCATCTTTGGAGAAGGACAATTGTTTCTCTCATAAACAGGTGACAGGGCTGGAATAGGTACAATAGGTGGAAAACTATGAAAAATGTTATGAAGGAATATATTGCATTATTTTGCTGTCTGAGACTGGGGACATGGTTCAGAATTCCTTACCGTGTGTACATTTCCAGCTGCTAAAGGGTGGGAAAAGACCCACCTATACTGACAAATAGTGGTGAACTGAGGGTCAGGTACAATTACTTCCAAAGACCCATCCAGTGAAAGCACACAGTGAAGGGGAATTTGCCATCAGCTGCCCTAGAACATTGACTGCAGGCTCTGCTACCTTGGATGCAAAGGAGGAAAAGAGTACAGCAATAATGAAACTACAGTTAGATCATTAACAGCTTCCCATTAGGTAAATAGAAAGGCTTTAACACAAAATGCACACAGCAGCAGCTTTCACACCACCAAAAGGGACTTGTAACACCGGCAGACAATCTTATCACTGATTTCTAGCCAAAATCACATGGAAAGGGTCTTCTCCTTCCAACCCGCTGCATGCATTGCACATATGATTTTCAGCATCTCCATTGCTAAGACAGACATGAGACTCAGGTTCAAGGTTTTTCTGGTACATAGATTATCATTTCTTCTTGTGGAAAAAGAAATAGAATTCCTTAATCTTTTTCAGACTAAATTTCTCAGTTTTTGTCTTCAACTAGGCTGACAGCTCTTCCCATTTTGTAGTAAAATTTTGTACTGAGCAATTGAAAAGTCAATACTCCTCTGCTTCCTGTATTTCTGTTCCTCCATAACACATACTGTATTTATTTATATATTTACACAGGTACACAGAATTACAAAAAATACAACTGGAAAAGACTCTTGAAACCATCTGGTATGTAACCCCATTCAAAGCAAAATCAGCTACACCTAATTAGCTCCTGAGATACGCTTGCCTACCCTACTTAAACAGTCTACACAAACTCCCTTGGATATTTGTGATGTTTTGCTATTTTTACTTTTAGAATGTTTTTCTAATGTTTGGTCTGTTCCAGAAATTTTAATTAAAAGCTCTCTCAGAGGAGACTGGATTATTGTGGATTCTCATACATGAAAAGAAAACCCCAAAAAAATCCACATCCAGAAACACGACACATTGAATTTAAGGTTCATAAATTATTTGTAGGTCACATAGGTGTTGTTTCAAGCTTTGTGACTCAGAAAAGTTTAAATGAAACCAGCTATTTATGTATCCACCCTATTGTTCACTTAAAAGAAGATCTTGATCACAGTAATTTCTTTCCTGATTGAAGTTTTGAAAGCTCTAAATTCTCTGCAGAAAATAGTTGTTGGCATTTTTGGATGATAAACATCCCAAAGCGATGATGATAAATTACAGTGTTGCCCAATGATGCAGAAAAGTAGAGAATTTAAACTGATAACCTCTGATTTATGAATACACTCTCATAATTGCAAAATCTAGGGGTTCACAGTTGTAAGCACGGGTCATTTTCATCTCGGTGTTTATTAAAAGTGTGAGAAGGAGGCATGAAGGGTGGCTGCCATTTTGTAATAAACACTTAATGCTCTTTGTTTCCAGTCCAAACCCAAAGCAATACAGAACTTCCTGCCTTTTTAAGGCCTACATAAGCATTTGTTACTGTTCACAGTCACAGAAGATGGGAATTTTTACATCTTTGCTCACTCATATAAATAATTCTTCTCATATATAACCATTCCTATATACCTTTTCTTAGTAGAGAGAAAAACACTCAGCCAAGTTATTAAAATAAATCCTCATATTTTCTTCATAAATCATACTGGTGATAATAAAAAAATTTACTTCAAAAGTATTTTAACTTATTATTTCACCTATCAACAGACCCTGCCAGTGAAACCCACCCAATGCACTCAAAGTCATGAGTCAAGGAATCTGTTTTGTCACAGTACAGAAATAAATCATGCTACATTCCTTCATCACATCCCAAGCTTCGTGATATTCTAATTTCTTCTTCCCTCTCCCTATTACCTCTCTGTTAAATATTCAAAGCAGGCAGCAAAAGGCAGAAGGAAAAATAAGGTCAATTCAGCAAATTGAAAAAAAAGCAAAATGTTCCTATCCACCATCATTTGGTTGTTACAGTTATCTTAATCAACTCAAACAGGTTCTCTGAGACATCTAATTTGATTTTACAAAGTGCAAACCCATAGCTATATTTGACTTTCCTCTGATTCCAAATGTAAAAAATAGTCTTTATCTAACGTTGAGGCATATCATCTAACTACACATGCAATTGCATTTTCATTATGAGGCAGTGAAACATGGCTGGAGAGACATCTTGGATGTTATCTGTGTTATTACTCAAGTGGAGAATATAATCATAAATCCTTCTCTTCCCTTCCACCCTCCCACCTTTTTTTTTTGGAAGTACACTTAAAATCTGGTTTTTAGCTTCACTGGGCCCATTACATTTGATCTTCAGTAAGAAGAATGTGATATGAATACACTGAGAGAAAGCATAGACAAAAGGTATATTTTCAAATGTGGTTCAGTTTAACTGTTCCTACAATTAGCTACAACTCATTAGGCAATAAACAGAAAAACAAAGAGATCCTGAATGAAAGGGCAATATTTTCTCCATAAAACAAACAAAAAACAGAACCAGATGCCTTTTTCATGAGGCTTTCCTTGCATAAATATACCCAGCAGCTTAGAAAAGATATTTTCTTGATTGAAAATTTTTGTCCAGGAAGTAAACGTGTAAACATTAGCTTGTGCAATTTCAATAAAAAGTATTTACTGCTATTGTATACTTGGGATTTTTTGATCTCAAGGATAAAGTAACACTACAGCAATGCACTGCAGATGACGAGCTTTGATCTTTTATTAGTTCCTATAATTGTGTCTTAATTTGTATTCTGCATAATAAGCACTCACCTTCACTGTTTGTCCAGCTTCAGGGCCATCCTGTAAGCAAAGGGAAAAGTCTCAGGTTAGAGGATCTAACAAGGATCACAAAGGATTTCAGAAATCTTACTCAATAATCATTTACATAAATTACACTGTCTATTGAATTAGCATATTTTTCCTGAGGACCATTCAACACTAAGTCTTTGGACAAAGCTTCTTTCCATAAAAGACTTCAGCAAAGAGGGAAACTATCTCACATCACAAAAACAACAGTTTCTATTTTTCATTTTTTCAGATTATGTTTTTCAATAGCTAGCAATAGATTTCTGATCCTTGTGAACATAAAGTCACACATGGAAGTAAGAATTTAATCAAACTGTGCTTGCTTAAATTCTGATTCTAATGAATGGGCTTAGTCTCCTGGTTTGCTTTAAACAGAGTTCATTTTTGGTATAAAAACACCCAGCACAAATGACTGAAAGGTCAAAATTTATCATGTATTTACATGGCTACAGCTCTCTGCTGCATATAAATATCTGTGAGGAGGGATCGCCTATCTCAAGTGTGTGTAGTGGGTTGTGTGTGCAACAGGGGCTGGAGCTGCCTTCTCTTGAGGTCAACCCTGCCAACACTTCTTTGAAAGAGGAATATTTCCTGAAATACTCACAAACAAGCACAGCATTTGAGAGTGTTTGCTGGCTTTATCCAAGGTTTTGCAGTAATTAATTAACCACACTTTCCCACTGGTTTCCTCTTTAGATTTCTCAATGGCAAATCTGGAAGACTGCAATGCAGTTATTTGGCTTCTTGTCGGTTATTGCTGTTATTTTGCATTTATTTCCCCTTGAAGTTCCTTTTGTGATTGGGCTGGGGAAAAATGCTGAAAGCTTGATAAAACAAACCATTAAACCTTTCTTAGCTGCCTGGTTTACCAACCTGGATGGAGAAGGTGAGAGAGGTGCCACAGAAGTGTTTCTCCACCACGTTGCCGACCCTTTGCGCCGTTCGGAACAAATCAGCCACTTCCTCGGGACGCAGGTCACGGAAACGCTCCACCGGCCGCAGGGGACACACAAGGACATCTGAGGGGGCATGTCAAGGCTCAAACACAAATCTGAGTGGACCAGAACTGTGGGAACCCAGGATATTCCTCTGGCTACCCTGGAGGACTCAAGACCCTGTCAGGGGGATCAGACACCTTGCAGAGAGCCCAAGCCCCCTGTGCCTTTGATTTAGCCCTTGGAAAAAACAATTACCAACCTTTATAGGAAGAATTAGAAGCCATAAAAGTGTAAGTAGAAGGATAGTGAATTTATCACAGAGTGGAAAAATAGATTTTTGGGGTTTTTAGAATGGAGGTTCAGGGGGCAAGATGGAGCAATCTGAGCATGTCCAGCGTTTCTCCTTCTTGGCCTCCATCTTCCGCTGTGATGCTGGCACTTATAGATTGGTTTAGAATAGAAGCTCACTGTCTAACACAGGTGATAGGTATTGGAAAGTAATTGTAAATATTGTACACGTAGTTTTTAGTATAAAAAGACAACACCGCCCCAGGAAAGGCAGAATGCCTTGGACTGTCTTGCTGAGTGGACCTTGGTGGGTTGGAGAAAGAATTTTATAGATAGGATACAATAAACAACCTTGAGAATGAGAAATGAAGAGCTCTGACTCCTTCTTTGACCACTGGGCTAGGAAAAGAGACTTTCTGATATTTCGAAGGGTCACTCTGACCAGCTAGAGACCCCGAGACATAACAGTCTCAATCCCCAGCCTGGAACCTGGTTCTGATCACCCTTGAATCGCCTGAGCTCTTCCTCTCTGGTGACACCGCAAGAGCATCAGAAACACAGGGCTCATTACAGGGAATTGTATGATGCTCTGTTCAGAATTCTTTTCCTCAAACCCCTCAGATATGGATAAAATTAATAAGGCTCTTGTGCTATACTGAGACCTTAAAGTGAAAGCAGATTTTTCACAGACTCAAATTTACCATCTCAATGGAGAAATGCTGGTATTTATCTCCTGTGAAAGTCAGAGACATTTTCTTTTGTGATTAAAAACGGAGGAAAGCTAAAGAAATTTAAGAGGGCTTTGGATGTGTTGTCTGAGACAACAGTTTACAATGCTTTTCCCCATATGTGATATATATTTTTGAAAATCTTGATCTGACACCTCTAATTTTAGGCACCTAAATATGACAAGCTGACACTATGCTGATCATAGCAGATCACTTATTTCTACACATTATTTACAATTCACAAGGAATGCTCACCTGTTGTAACTATAACATGTTTTTTTAAAAAATACTTTAAGATAATTAAGACTATTTCCTTTTAAGCACAGTGTTCAAAATCCTGTAAATATACTTTGATTTAATTCTACCTTGGTGACTGTGATTTGAGAGTCAGTGAAATGAAGCTATAAACTAAATAATGGAAGTACACAGATGCTGCTGACAGTCATCTGATCTGCTGTGTTCACAGTAATTAATAATTGCTATGATTCCTCACTTGAATGTCAATTATGCAGCATATTAATATGGTCCAGAATTCTTAGCAGAGCCTCAGTTGTGTAGATCCAACAAGCAAGTACTTGATTCTCATTTCAATTCCCTGCAGACAGGATTCTTTGCTGACTTACAGAATAGAATTTGCAGATTGAAGACCTTAAAGTAACCTTTAACATCACTTGAACTTTCATGACCAAAGGCTATGAAAATTATTTTTTCCAGTATTAAAATAAGTATTCAAAAGACTATTTGAAGAAAATTAAGTTCCATGCCATTGTATTACAGTCATCTCTATTTTTACTGCATCTTGAAGCCTGCAGGTGTTCAGGAATATTCTGTATAATCCAGGAAAGGTAACTAGGAGCTGCTCTGCAGTTAACAGGTTCACAAAAAGGTTACATCAACCTGATTGTCAAGAACCATGTGAGACATTTGAAATAAGGAGAGATTAATACATGTGAAAGATCAATTATTTCCATAAGCACAGATACAACATGTTTACATACACCAAGGCTGTATTATTAGAATCACACTTTTCATTCTGATAGGACAGAAAACTAGACATTTTCTCAAAGTAAAGATGTAGTGGCAGGTTTTGATCATTTTTCTAAATCCAGATGAGAACAGACAAGTCTGTAATGGATATTTGCTATAGTGGGAGCAGAATTGAGCAAGCTCTACCTGTAGCAGCTCCCAAGAGAACAGGAGGAGACTGGTCCCAGCTGTGGGTGCTAATCTGCTTTGAAAATCTGTCTCTCAGGGGTGTTTTGTACAGAATCAGCTATGCCACCCCTATTCTCCTTTTTGCTTGTTACAGCTTATGTTATTAACATTTAAGAAAGGAGAAAAATATATTTAGAAAGCAGGTACTTGGCAACCAAACAATCCTGGCTGGATACAAAACCCCTCATTTTGTGGGGTTTTAGTTCTGCAATGCTGTGTCCCTTGGTAAATTACCAGGCATAGTAAACCCCTTGTAATTCAGTTGTGCCTTCCCAGTGCAGTGTACAGAGCACATCCATAAATGATGCTATTGGCTAAACTTGGGGCCCAAGGGAAGAGCTGCAAAGTTGATTGGCAGACCTGATTTCCATACCAGGAATAAAGGAATAGAAAAACTAATTAATTTTACTCATAAGAAGGAAATCCATGTCAACACTAAAACAGGAAAAAGGACATTCGTTTAATCTGAGCTCATTTTTCCAAAGGAGAGAAGGGAAGCTTGTACCCTTAGGGCATCTGATACTTAAGTAGATAATTATCCTTCTTCTGCAGCACTGCTTTATTATCATGGCTCAATGAACCATTTATAAATGAAGAATTTCCCCCCACTTACCTCTAGCAAAACTGCTGCTTACATTAAGACAAGTTTCCTTTTCTCCTTTCCAGTTTTCCCCAGCAGCATCTCACCCTCTCAGACTCGCGCACGCCTCACCAGCAATTGTTTGTTCTCTACCTAGCTCAGGGCCACAGCCACAATTTTTGCATTAATGCTGGTTTCTACACTCTGATGATAGCACTGTGCTGTTTGCCACTGCAATGGATTGTGGAAAATGCGAGGCAAACAGTTCTTGGGAGAGCTTTTGTTTCCATGGCACATCGCAGAGGGAGTGATGGCTGGTTCTGGCTGAGACAGGACAGGTTTTCTCTTAATTTTATCACTAACCTGCACTGTCATTTTGCAAGTTCTCTGTATCTCTCTTTGTCTCTCCTCTTCCATACATCATCTGTCTTATCTGCTTAGACAGCACTTGCCAGCTGGTGCAGTGGAGGTTTCTCATTAACCAAGAACATCTCTGCTCATGTGGGGCCCCCAGTGCTCCTGCAGCACCTAATGCTGCACCCGGGGCATTCCTCAAAAAGGACTTGCACTTCCTCCTTACATTACCAAAACTCATTTACAACCCAAACTAGGTTTTAGCTATATTTCTGTCTCGGAATTTGATAAATAATTCAAAGGCACAATCATAGAATGGAGCATCTTCTCTGAACTTTCCATCATTTCAAAATAGTTCTACAAAGAATAATGATAGAAATTCTGAATCAGAGCTACATTAACATGAGAATGTAATTAGGACAACATTCAAGTTATATTTAACTATGAATATATTAAAAGGAAAATGTTAGAATGAATTCATGAATTCGAGGTCATTAGGAAAAACAACCATCCAATGCAACTTTAAATCAAAGTTTTTAACTAAAGTTTTTGACGCTAGGATAGTTTTTAATTTTATACCTGGTTTGATTTTAAGCTGTACACCTGTTCTATTCACCTCAGAATTCTTACTAAGTTTAAAATTAGATAAACTGTTCATTGCTTTCTACAATAACCCACAGCAAACCCTGCTATGAAACCACTTCAGGTGACTATGTATCAAAATGTGAGAGAAAGTGAGCCTGTGCTTATGTTTACGTGCAATTGCTCCTTAGACAGAAGGATCCACTGCCATCTGAGATGCCTTAGGGCATCCAGCTGCCACTCCAGAAGGGCAGGAGCCTCCCATATGCCCTACACCATAACATCATAGCTCAGGTGGGACCCCCGAGTCCTCCTGGGCTACCTGAAATGGCCACAGGTGCCCGTGTGTGCCCAAGAGCCCCCTGTAACAGTGGCTCAGCAGGACAAGGTGCTGCCACCCAGCACAGACGTGCTGCACCACTGCTGACAGCGTTCTGCCTTCAGAAAGTTTGAACTTTAGCTTTCCTCTCTCTAAGCACTGTAATTAATAAGTTTTTGATTTCTTCATTCATTCTGAACTGCTACTGACTGATGAAGTTTCTATTTTTAAGCTTTGATGTGCACAGCTGTTATTTCCTTCAAGTTCTCTGAGTCAGTCCACATCACCAGAGCACATGCAATTTAATATGTCAGCTTCTCCATTTTAGGGAGTGAAAAACCTTTACACCTTATTATAATCTGTAACAACTGTTTCTCTAAATCTTGCAGAAGACTCTCAACAGCCTTACTTCTCTCCCTAACACCTGAATATGCATACACAAATCAATCTGTGTTGGAAAAATCCCCCTTGGATGTGTGGATTGAAGGATGTGCTCACCCTGGGGATTTTAGGGCATGACTGAAAAGTGTGCACGTGCTACTGCACGCTGGCTTTGAGCTGATCAGAGAGACAAGAATCAGATTCTACAAGAAAATCAAAACTCCTGGCCAACATCTGCATGGTGACCACTTCAAATGTAATTTTCCTTACACTAATACACACAGAGTGAAGGCTGAAATTCAAAGGCTCAGCAGTAATTTTTATTTGCTTTAAAAGGATTTTGACTTAGAAGCTTAAATTATTGTAATTGTGTATTTAAGGCCTAGGCCAAGCTCTCTGTTCACTTCAATGGGACTCCACTCAACCCCACAAAGTGCCTATTATAAATTTTCACACATAACTATCAAGGTACACACGTTCTGTAGTTCTGAAATGTTGGAAAAATGGCCTTTGGGGGGGTCAAAAAAGAAAGAAAACCAAAAAAAAGAAATCCCAAAGAGGTTGAAATTCCTTTTATGTGACAAGCTTTAGAGCTGAACACAGCTTTTTCCTGGTTAAGTCCATTAATTTGCTA